GCTAACAACAGCATCGAAGTAGTCTCATTAGTCTGGTTTTCAGAAATTATTTGTAATATTTTGGGTAAACACCCAGCAAACGTCCGTTTTACGAATAGTCGATATTACCAATGACCTTTGCATCATCGACCAAGTAATAACGTTAAAAAGTCCGATTGCATACGTTTTTCAAAGTGATAATGTATATTTTTCTTAATAATAAAATCAGATTTGTTGTATTGATTTATTGACAATTCAATCTTTTCTATTTCTGCTATAATAGTCGCTATTAATTGAATTTCAACGAACTACCACCAACGCCTGCAGTCGTTAAAATGAGCGCACATGTTTACGATGACGAAATAAAAAAGTGTGTGGAAGTCAGCAACTTATTAGACACCGCTAAGCTAGATTTTCGCGAAGTGCATGTAAACAACACAATTGAGCGATCTAAAAACTACAAAACAGGAAATTCTGAATTCAACTTTAAACTTGCACTCTAATTATGGTATTTTTTGCTGTTCAATGTTTAAGTTCATTAAAATTTAACAAAATGCTTACATTGTATAAGCCAATATCAATTATGAAATTTAATAAGGCCTAATAAAACAATATCTACATTAATAAAAGTTTTTCAATCTGTCACACTTACCAAAGAGAATTATACCTCCCACAAGAAGCAATACATCAAACACAATTAAAACTGCAAAACAAATCAAAATCCAAAATTAAACCATATTAACAGTCTTCAATTCAGTAGTTTGTCAAAAATTTAAAAAATTGTTAATATACCGGTAATTTAAATCATGATTATTTATAGCTTTTTAAGTATCAATTGTTGTTGCAATTGAAAATATACTGTCTTTGATGAAATATAAAACATGAAAAAATAAAATTCAATATTTAAATTGATTTATTTACTTATCAAAATTCTGATAGCAGGAAGTCTGCCATCACAACTGAAAGTATTATATTTTTTTAATTAAAAAAAAAAAAATTGTCTGAAGGCTTGCTCGGTGAAGTAACAATATATATTAATGCTTGCAGTACACCGCATAGAAAAAGAACAGTTGTTCAATTAAATTGCTTTAATCATCTTCAAGAGAATAATTTGCAGAAATTCCAAAACAGTGGAATACTATGTTTTGGGTAGTAAGACTTGCTGCTGATAAGTGGAAAACTAAACAATAACTGAGACTATGTGTGAAAAGTCTATAATAAAAAAGCCATAGTAATTCACAGTCTGTGCAAAAGGGTGGGGCATGGCTAGAAAGCTAAGACAGTGGTGAAAGGAAATCCAAAAACAATGGCATATGTTTCCAACGTGGTGGGAAAAGTGTTGCATTGGTTTAGGTCCGATTAAACATGGACAACCAAATATTGCTGATGACAAATCATATATTTTATTGTACTGTATCATTTGTGTGAATTTCTATGTTGAAAAAACAGAAGAGTTGTACAATCAACTAGATTTGAACTCGTCACTGAGGACGAGTTTCTTGATCCGCCGTACTTCGACCCTCACGAAGCACGCGCGGTTTTGATTGAAAAGTATTATATGCTAAAACATGCTCTATTTAAAGAGTAATTTTGAGTATTTTAAGAGAAATTTTAAAGGAAAAGAGTAATTTTGAGCATTTTAAGGACTTACGAACGTGTACACATACGTCTTAACGTCCGTGCGCACGGTAGTATTAATACAGTGTCACAAACCCAACACATGTAACCGAAACGTAATTTCCAGCTTCAGTACGTGCTGTGGGCCTGGAAATGAGCGTACGGCGCGTAAATTTTGAAAATTTTTGGAATATTCAAAATGACCTGAAACGTGCTTTAAATTATCTGAAAAGTGATATTAACAATTTTAAAATTTTAACGCACAAGTACGAATACCTTATACGACGTGCCTGACGACGGTAATGGCACATGAATTTAAACCTTGTCAAGTTTAATTTAAAACCTTGCCTTTACAGTATACAAAGTATCGGTTTGATAGTGTCGAAATACAGTCTGCCGCCCTCTATTTTCAATGTGTTTACATCTTTTAAGAAAGAAAGATGAGAAGGCTCCAAAAAAAAGCATTCTTTTGACCATGATGACGACATCAAAATAAAAAATAAAGGGACACGTCCGAAAGAGAATTGATTTAGCTATAACATACTCACAGGTGGGAGACAATCAATCAAGATAAGCGAGTACGTTCAAACGAGTA